AAGTTTATCAGGTAGTGCACCTCCACCTACCAGTTCATCTAGTATGATGCAGCAAAATTCAATAATTCCACCACCCGGGTGAGTTATATACTTCAGCCTGTTATCTGGCATAGATAAATCTTCCTTCATTGCCCAGCTTGTACCTAGTCGTACTAGTGTATCTAGTACTTGTCGTAATGTCATTATTGAACCCAGGAAATGAACAGCTCTATTGGCAATTTGTTGAGAATCTTTATAAATGTTGTTTGTTAGATTAAGGGGGTATGTAAGTGACAACTATGCTCTATGTCAGGGGTGGCCAACCTGCGGCTCTTGCTCCAGTTTCATGCTGCTCTTTTCGCCTTGGTTATTTCAGGGAAAAAATAACTTGCAAACTATGATTCATCATGTTTCGATTAAACATATTATGGTTTATCGCGCATTCTTCTTTTACATCGAAGACACATGTGCTCCTTTATTCATTTTACCATGCAATCGTCCATTATTACATTCTAGCAGAGCTGAATAAAGTTATATCTGATGTTCATGTATGATGTTCATGCTGCTCTTGGTCTCTGACTGGTTGGCCACCCCTGCTCTATGTGTATGAATATTGAAATTAATCGTATATCTACATTTAGCTATTAGCATTGTTTTGCTGGTTACCTGTTCTGAACCTTCTGTATTGAATCATATTGTAATCTATTTTGATTTGAAATTCATCACTGCACTCTTTTTTCAACAGATATATTCCACCACAGCAACAATCTCAACAAGAGGAAATTCCTGATACTTTTGATTGGGATTCAATTTGTTAGCACATAACAATGAATAGAACGGTTATAATAAATTGGATTCGGTGAATTTTCGTATGATACAGAGAACTTTTAATAAAGATAGAAAGACCCATTTGCCAAAATTTTGAATGTTAGAATGACTAGACAAATAGATGTGGTGCCATAAGTAATCACTGATGTTCCAAGAGATACATAAAGATATTATTTGTGTTACAAGAAATGTCACTGTTTGACATATAAAAAGAAATTTAATATTTGGCTATAATGACATATTTAGAAACAGCCCACTCTGGCATAAAATCGATATATTTCAAAAAATTAATATTTTGAATTTTTTAAGATAGTTACAATGAAGAAACAAAGTGATTCTTGTTTTTTAGTAACCTTATGTTTTGAGTTTCATCTATGACAATGACAAAATTGAGATGACAAAATCGAAATAAAATATTATGGTGTAGTGCAAAGAGTTTGTAGGAAGTTTTAACTAGAGTAATACTATAGATAAATTGGACGTAGCTAATCTCCAAAAAAAAAACATATTGTGAACATGTTGTGAGCAAAAATTGTCAAGCTTCATCTTTCTATTCGAGTGTCATATGGTGAGATATGTATGATGTTGCTGATATCATGTATCCTCTTCCATAGCAAACTTTTAATAACATTGATCATGAATGATATATTTAATGTTAAATTAATCTCTTCAATTTAATGAACATTGTAAATTTTAAATTTTGTTCCAACTTGAATTCTGGTGTTCATCCAACATTAGGAGATTTGGAAGAACCTGTTATCTATAAAGTTTGCATTTCGACTATTTGGCTAGTTTCTGTTTGGTGACTAATAATTTTTCGAGTTTTATGAAATCAGAATGTAATCATTTAAATTGATTCAAGGAAAAAACAATGGGTCAATTTTATCATCAAGTTCACATGGTTCCCATTTCATGTGGTTGATTATAATCCAGTTATATTATAAATCGAATTCCATTTGCCACAAAGCATATTGCTTCGAATCAGTTGGCTTATAAGGAATTTTCCCCGAAAGAACAAGGCGTTAACTTCACTGTCACCATTCAATCATTTCAAGAAATTTCAGTCACAGCATGTGTGATCTAACCTAGTTTGGTCAAATCAAACACTTTGCATTAGTCAAGTGTGAGATGGTGATAAAATGCAGAACTGTGGTCTGGTTATTCATACCTCTAGTTATGAAAAAATATGGTATTTTGGTATTATCATCAGGTTTACTTGTTCCTATGAAAATCAATAATTTACCATTTTAGTATAATTGTGATATTAATAATTGAAAAGTTTTGTCAGCTTATTCAAAGCAGAAAACATGGTTTTGTGCACCAACATTAGTGTTGAATTTAGTTCGTCTGCATCCAAGTCAGAATTTGGATCTCACCAAAATAGTATTTGAATCATTTTCAACCCATTATGTACCATACATACTTGAATTATTAGTATCTAATTTTTAAGTTCAAGTCTACTGTATTTATGTTAGTGATTGGACCTTTTTCAGGTTTTTCTCATAATTGGAATGGTGATTCTTTTTTTGTAGCTTTGCTGTCATGTTGCATAGGTATTTACTGATTCTTTATTATTCAATTGCTTTTCCTTTGTGCACTGCACTATAATTATCACTTGTTTGATTGTTGTAGAGTTTATTTTTGTTTTAACTTTTTTTCCCTTTTTTGCAGTGCTTTTTTACTTTGCCTCCCAAATTTTTTCTTATTATGATGCGTTTGTATTGCTCTTTATATGAAAAGTACACGCCAAATCTTTTCTTAGTTTTGTCCGTAAAATTTTCTTTGTTTTTGTTCAATAAGAATTCTAATGAAGTCTCAAATTTCGTCTATAAACTGAAAGATGAATTTGTTTTGCATCGACTCAATTGTCATTCAAATGAAATATTGTTTTCTAGCCACATGACGAGGAAAACAGTATTTTTGAAATATGTGCATGCACAACTAACTACTCCCGTATGAGTATTCTCCATTGTATGTGTATTCTCTATCGACTGATTGTGTGTGCATCAACAAACTTATTATAATATGACTTATTCTATCATTCACATGCACTTAAAAAATTGTTTTATTTGTTTAATTTCTGATTCAAAATTTTCAAGCTTCTCTGAATCAATAGTTGCATGAACTTAATTTGGTCATCTGTTTTAGTGGGAATACTTGATCGTCGTTATATAAATTTTAAGAAATAATAAAATGATAAAAAAGGTTGTATATATTATGATGTTTACCTGTTACTGCCAGTTTTCGATATCGGTACAAAATTTTTATTCTATGAATCAATGTTCGAAATATCAATGTTTGTTTTTATTCTAAATTCGTTTTCATATTTTGAATAATCGATTGTTTTTTGCTCTGTGAAAGTTGGTTGGATGTAAAATAATATGCCCTCTATTCAGTCTCAAATCTCTGTGATCAGTGATTTCACAGAGGAATGCTGTTTTTGATACAGAAGTTAAGAGTATTTGGGTATTCTCAAATAGTATAAATTGGTCTTTGAAACAGTAATACACATAATTTTCTTAAAATTCAAGAAAGTATATCAATGTATCGTGTAGTTCATGCTAGGTAGGAGAATTTGAATGTTCTGATCTTATATTTCATTCTCACTCTGCTCTCAAATGATCACATATAATTTTTTTCCTGCAGCTGCTACATGTTTTCCTTTGTATGTATAGCTATGTGGACCATAAACACAAGCTGTAACTTACAATTTCAATCTTTCTATCTATATACACTTGGAATTACATAAGAAATTTGTGTTTTCTGTTTCAAGGCCAGTCAGTTCCAACTAAAAACTTCTGGTTTTTATGTTATTATTTTTGTTTGCACTATCAGTTACTTTTAGAATGCTTTTAAAACTATTTGATTATTTGGTGCTCTGATTATAGTGCCTATTCAACATATATATATATGAATGTATAAGTGGTTGGAAATGTAAATAATATTTTTTCGAAAATTGTTTTAATAAATAGAGAAATATTTGTTACTGTTTGTTTACACTATTAGATTTGTTCCCACTTAAAACTATAAAAAGGTTATTTACAGATAAAATGGAATAAAATTTTTATATTTCCCCCGAGAGAGAAATACTAGATCTATGGAGTTGGACTAACTTCAACTCAAGTTCAATTCAAATAACAACTCCGTCTACTGGTTCTTAGAAATTTTGCCTCCGACTCCATTTTGGACTAAATCCTTGCTCAAGCTCTAAAAAAGCAAATTTGGACCACAAAAGCCTTCTTTACTTTTTACTGTGCATTATAACCATTAAAAGACTAAAATGCCAACTTTAAAATTTCTACCTGATATTCGACGATATCAATAAAAACATGCTAAGCTCAGACTCCACAGCCTTGAGTAAGTTGCTCGAGAGGAATGGAGGTGGATGACACTATAAGCCTCAATCGATCTTTAGTTCAATCCAGCTGTGATATGTAGAGAATACATAGGGTAGACGATTTTCATATTTATACCCAGGGGTGGGGAAGGACGACGGCTTGGCAATATGGCGCACCACGGTCTCTCGTCCGGTTACGTGTCTGGTATGGGATCAGATAGTCAGTTATTTGTTTCGGAGGCGTGGACTTGATGGTGGAGGAAGCCGTAGCCGGCCAGCGGTATCGTGTACCACCCTACGGCGGCGACGAGTCCAGCAGTCCGTTTGCACATAATTATCCCCACGGGATTGGGACCTACCTGCTCCCACTTCGGCTAATCAAAAGTTCGATGACGGGCGTATCCCCAACACATTACACGGTGCGCGAACCGCCGAGAATATGTATCAAAATGTCATTGTTTTGCCTGAACGTCATACGCTTTAGTTTACCACATTAAGCTATAGCTTTATGGATCCAGTACTTAAACTAATACCCTCAATAGCAGCTAAGAGACGTTGAATGATCTCCTTGCACAATATATTTAAACTCTAATATATTTAAACTCTAATAGTATAATATACTTAAGCTCAGAAAGGAAATAATAAAGTTATGTGAAAGGTCGGGAAGTCTTAAAACGGGGTATTCATCATACCTTTCATGACCTTCTCATAAATTTTTCAAAAATAAAATATCGGATACAATTGTGTATTTCAAACCATGTTGTAAAATTGAACACCGTGTGTGATGTCACAGTATTTCAACACCTCGTACCAGGTGACTGGGAATTCGGTGTCGTTAAAATATATATAAAACACTCTCAATAGTTCGCCATCCAACCCCACAAAATGCTACAACGACAAATAAATCTACAATAAATACTCTGGGCCAAAAGAATGTGGTAATAATTCTTCCAATGTAAATAGGCGATATTCGTATTTTCCATTCACCGGTGTTGCCTTTGCGCAATATATGCTTTTTATTTGAAACTGAAAAGAAAGTATGTAATCATAAGGGTGAAATAAAACTGGCACAAATCACACATTCGGATGATCACACAGTGGATTATTACACAACCAAATCCGCTCGCCTCCTGAATTATATAAATTATTTATCTCGTATTGGAATAAGCCCTCAAGACCCCTTTAATCATGTGAAGAATCATGGTCTCGTTTTAATAACTCAAAATTCTTATGCAGAGACTTGATTGGTATACGAGATTTAAAAAAATCATAGCTCCGCGGCAAACACATCTCAGTTTTTTAATGAAAAGCTTGCATGTGCTAACTTTCTCCGTTGCATTCGTTCTTATTTCATTAAACAAAACCATTTTATTCTAATACTACTCACCTCCCTCAACGATTGTCTACATAAGCCGCAGGGTGTCACTGTTTCTTCGCGATCTCTGAAAACGGAACTTATATTTTATGGACATGTATATATCATTGTTGTTGGTCATTGTATTTGCTAGATTAGTGAAAAGATCAATCAATATTTGTGTGTATTCGTGAGTAGTTATGGCCAGACGCACCATACAAGATGGAATCCGAGAAGTGGCGGACTGACACGAGCAAAGAATTCACAGGACAGAAAACAGTTTTCGAATACAGGCAGAAGTATTTTAATCTAATAAGATTACTCACGTTATTACAGCTATGGCTTTAAATTTTTTATGTCCTTCGGAAACAGCCTTACATATGGCTGTTCGTTCTGCACATACTCCAACTGGGTAGCAAGCGTTTTCTACGTTGCATCCTGTATATACAGTGCCATCGTCACTCAACAGAGCGGCACCCACTCGAAACTTACTGTATGGACAGTGAGCGTTTTCTCGTACTTCAGCAGATTTCCGAATAAGATTATTCAGCCAATCATTCTCGGATTCCGACATACTTAATCCGATCTACACGACCGTATGGAATTGACCTAATAAACCTGCTGAATTTAAATCATATCTGTCTTTGGTTAAGGACGAGTATAAACTTATAATACAAATAAACCCTTTATTTATTACGTCTGTTTAAACAAATATTCCTCGTGGGCAAACTTAATTGATAACATTTGTTTGCAGATCCTCAGTATATATTAAGATTACAGTCCCCATATTCCTTGACAAGAGAATATGTGAGAGATGCAATATCTTAGAAAATCCAGAATTCAAATAATTTTGAAACTAAAATTCATAAATAGAAACTTATAAATTTAAATTTTGGTCATCATATCCATACCCAGGTGGATATGCGCTTTTACCCAAATATCTTTCTATAAACCCTGAAAGTATCAAAATCTGAACTTGGCATTCTAAATCTCCAACCTAAAATAAACCTATACCAAAATCTATGAGCTACCCATTGCAATATTGCTACACTGTATGACTCTTGTGTGCAGGTGTACACTCGACCTGTGTTTAATTGAATCTAACCTTCAAATATACCCGACCTTGTTTATAGAAGCTGTTCGAGAGGTTGAAACAAGGCCGATGTTTATTTTGGGGTTACGTTAGTACGTTCAGTATCCTTGAAACCACTTCCTTAAAAATATATTCTGTGGTCCCTGCATGAGACACAGAGCATTGGTGGTGAGCCATATATATGACTAGAAACCGGATGTGCTCGATAACATATATTCACGTCTGGCTACACAGGCTTATTGAAACACAACTGATTGTATGTTATATGACTATCTGAAATGAAAGTCTGATATCTAATTGTGCCCTGACAAGTCTAACAAGCAGATCTTCAGACATCAATCGTTGTAAATGAAAAACATAATGTAAATAATTTACGCACCGATTCATGATATTGAAAAACGCAACGTTACTCAGCCTATTGTTTCGTTTGACAATATCATAAAAGTCGTTAGCATTGTGTTACGTACCATGAACACTGAATGTATAAATCGGATATTCTAGCAATTTCCTAAATTTTAAACGTGCTGAATCTCTCACTGTGAAGCGGGCAAGCCGTTGTATTAGTATGAAGACTAACATAATTTACCTTTACTGATACCTGATATTTTACATCTCATAATCGAATCTCAAAGTATTTACTAAGCCCGTGCCTGGATATTATTGTAGCATCATTTGCAAATTTAAACAGCAGTAGACGAAACTGTCGATCTCGTGGCAGCTTTACCCCGGCTTTACTTACACCTTAATGTCTGCCGCATACCTTTTCTCCCCGGTCGCAACAATTTCACGAGAATGTATGACTTCAAAGAACGTGCGAATTAAATCGATGTCCACGCACAACGCAGGCGACAGTCTGATTTCCGGCAGATGATTTAAACCCGGAAAGAAAGTTTGAATTGCTCAAGTCTGGGATATTAATTAATCTCTGACACGATCGAGGTAAAACGTGATTTACGGTTGCATATACATCAAGTGTTTTAGTCATACTTGTTTTTCAGATTTCAATCTACTTGTTTTATACAGGTAGTCATTGATATACACAGCATATATATGTCATATATGTACGTATATTATGGAAAGTTTCATGAACTGCTATATTGGATTTAATAGGTGGCTTTCAGCCATATAATACTCATAGAACGAAAAATAAGTTGTGCTTCCAAACAAATGATAGAGAATTGGTGAAATTGATGATCCTCGAATACTGTGTATGATAAAACGGGCATTACTGGTCGTTGTTAGGGCTGGGCATTTCGAATCGAATAGTGAATTATTCGAATCGAATCGAATAGTGAATTATTCGAATCGGTTCAGAGCTAAATTTCGAATCGCCGCCACCTTGTTTTCTTCTTTTCGCCAATGGTCGGGGTGAATTCCCCAATTTTTTTTTTCATTGAAGTCATATTTTTTCAACGCAATTCTAACATATGACTATTTTCTGTAGTGAGTTATTGATAAAACGTGTTTGTTATTGTGTGTGAACGCTCAGTAATCTATCTGAGTGATGTATTCTATGTCTTCGGTAATTCGTTTGTTAAGAGGACCAATTACTATAAAAAAAAGTCGCTTACAATTATATATTTCCAAGTATTCGAGATTCGATTCGAAAAAATTATTCGATTCGATTCTGAAATCACGAGGTATTCGAATATGCCCAGCCCTAGTCGTTGTACATGTTAAACCAATAACAATTGCGAGTCAAACATACATTGCAAATATGAAATATAAGAATACCGAAAACGAAAAAATCCCTGCGAGGTTTTTCATAAATGACAGTATAATTTCTTCACAAACGAATTTCTATTATAAATAATAACTATACAAAAAAAAATCAATTTTAACGTCTGGCATTTGTACACATGTGACCCTGTGGAAACAATAACACTAAATAACTCTGGGTGGAGAAAATTTTAGTTTTTAATAATTTGAAAATTTGACAAATTACAACATCCAAAAATCCCTTGGCCCATGAACAATGGTCAAATATGAAAATAAGTTCGCAGGATGTATGTTGGGGATCATTTTACTGACGATTCTTTTCCCTATGAAAGAACTGGTCTAATTTACTTCAAATTGATCAATATATATATTTGTAGTTATATAGAATATATATATTAAGCAGATATCTGTACCGATTACTGGGCTCCTTTGTCGTAGCGAGTTTGGTGTAACCACTGGCCAGGGCTGGATTAACCATTAAGCAAAATAAGCTCGAGTTGGTCAGACGACTCAGAGCTCGATATTCGTTCAGTTAAAATAAACTTTTGCTTATTTTTCTTTCTCGAGTATAATTTCAAACAACTCTATATATAATTGTAGATATGAGAACTATTTCCGAAAAATCATGTAAATTAATCATAACTTGACTGGAATTTACTCGTTATTATTATGCTGTTTCTGTTCTTACTGTTCGTTTTGATGGATAATATCTCGTGTAGCTTATTGTATTCATTTTTTTGAAGACACATATAGGGTACCAAAAGTCTTAAGTGCTTAGGGCCTCCAAAAGACGTGATCCTGCCCTGTCACTGGACACGTCTTTCTATAAAAACCAACCATCAATGAGCAGACTAGAAAGGTGTGCGGTTTGTCTACATATAAATCTATTCTATATTACCAGATTTCTCGACTCGTTATATGTTTACGTCGGAAAGATTCGTCGGAAGTTATTTCCCGGGATGGTCATTCTACAGGTCGCATACGTCATTTCTCGTTGTAAATAAGTAAACAAATATTTGTATTGACCTTTGGGTTTATAAACCATTCGCGCAGTATTGACTTGGCCATCGCGAAGAATTTGGTCCGAACTGCAGTATTTTACATATCACACTACATTGGCTAATTTGGAAAACGCCAACATTATAGATTTTTTTTCGACTCGTGTTGTTGGCGGCATGACGGAGTTAAAATGTTGCTGTGTCGGCTTCTACAGATGAAATGCGACCATAAAAATGACATTCCAGGGTGGGAGACACGAAAAACCAAAGTAGCGAGTAGCGACATCCGTATAAATTATGTAAATACAACTTTCATATTTTCTATGTAGTTAATTAATACGTAGTAGGCCTATATAATAAAATTAATGTGCGTTCATCAACGTTATTGGTCTCCGTACCTATGTGCCTGAATATTTTAATATACACTTCGCCCGTAAAATCGATTTCTCTCACTGTATCGAATTAATTAGTTACACCCATCCGATTCGGACTGTCAGTCGGACAAGAATCTTGATTCCAACGAGAATTCTTGATTCAACATGTAATATTTCCTTGGAGCGCAGCAATCCCACATCTCTCCTCCTACCATTTCACCATGTTTTGAAATGCTGGAAAAACGATATGCGGTCAACTCACAGTGTGGCATCCTAGTTAGCGCCTGTTTTGAGCAAAGCTTAGCCTTTCCAGCTATTATCAAACAACACTTCATTCATTCTGGCATCCGGATGAAACGAATAAATTTATAGTATAAAAAACATAATTATGAAATCAATTTCATTTTGATATTAGTCATTTAATTCTCATATAATATACCAATTGCATCAACAAGTATTTAGCAAATAAAGAATCCGGCTGGTTGTTTGGCATCGTATCGTTATATTGCGAGGCTTCATTCTATCTTGATCAACTACGTAGTCGTTGTTTATTCGCTCTTCCCTCGTAAACTCTAAAAGACTCTTAACAATCAGAGATGGCAGATTAGTCAATAACTACTTTCTATTTTCAAAGCTCGACGTAAGCGTACCGTAGCCGTAAGCTATTCACGGCTACAACATAACAAATATCAGAGTCAGATAACAATAACAAAAGTCAATGGCGTTTAAATAATGATAACTTGTTGCCATTATCAGATGTAAAAACAAATTGGATTGGATGGCAAGAACACAACATTTAACAAAAATCGGGTGGTGGCGTTATCACTCAACTACTGATTATTATAATATGCAATTTATCTGAACTAATTCATAAAATGATAGACATCATTATTTTTTTCAGGATCAAGATTACAGCATGGAAATTATATTCCTATGCATAACGTAATCAAACCGGGCAATATTCATCTCAAACAATGCAAACTATTATTTAAAAACATGTCCATTTCCCAGGTGTATTTTCAACGACTCGTCAATATTAAATCTCTGCAGCTTTCGTCCATAACCTTCGTGAAAGTCGAAACTTTTTGGATAAGCTTTTAGCAAGACTCCGCAATGTCGTCATGGCCGACTCGCGGGCCTGATTCGCAGATTACTTGTTTACTTGTGGGTATGTTTTTCAGCGCTCGCCAATGGGCGCAGAGTATAGTTCACTATATATAATTGGCCTCTTTCGCTCTGTTCCGGAGTACAGAACTACGCTGGCGCTATTAGATACCTTATATGAGTACCAGCACATACAAAATATTCCAGACGACGCTGCTTTAGTTTATTAAGTAAAGCCAACGAAAACATACATAGATCAGTCATCTATATAGTTAACATTAAAACAAAAACAATTGAGTGAGGAGTTCATATAGGCGTTATCATCAAGTATCTCAAATTGGCACAATTTGAAAAATAATGTACACCGTCGACCTTCTGTGAAATGTAATTCAGCTGTAACTCTACTTGATATATCAGCTACTTGAGCACGACCGTTTACACACGAATTTCATGCACAACTACATGCGCAAGTGGCGACGACCTCCATTTCTTATTCATTATTTTGAAACAGACGCCATTTCTGTCGTTCCCTTCAGTACCGAAGGTCAGCTCAAGTGCAGTATGCACTTCGAAATCGTAACGACCTTAGAATGGTATTGCGTCCGCTGAATAGCCGACTTGACTTACACCTGGACACAAAGCTTTTTTTCTATTGTTTGGTCTGAGCTGATCAGTTGTTGTGTGCCATTAATTTTGATTTTGAGAGCCTTAATAAACCGAATCTTCGCACCTCTATAAATCGGGGGATGAGTATCGCCGAACAATTAATACGACGTTGTCGTCTTAAAGATAAGTTTTGGCGCCTTGATAGTGATAAGTTCGGGGAATTGTTTAAACGTTAACTTGATAGCGAGTCTGGTCTATGGCACAAGATTATCGAGTTTTTCTAAAGTATGTCCCCAGTTAGAAACTAAAACCCCCAAGATGGCGCCAAGTAAAATATTCTAATATATATTACGACAATTGAAAAATATATAGATGTGCTAATAGCTTGCATTGGCGAAATGATTGTTTAGCCATCCAATCAATCTTGGAAATTGACAAAATAAAAATAAACACGTTTAAACACTTCAGCTGCAACTCCTTTGCCAAAGTGTGTCACATACACTAAATGTCACTTGAGCAACTAGAAATTGATTGATTTCGGTAGCGGATTGACAATATATAGGTGTAAAGAAAATTGGGTGCAAGATGCGCTATTTGTATTTCAACGTGCTCGTAGAACATACAACGTTTATTTGAGAAAGATCAGAGTAATTTCATGTGACTTTGAATCCATCAGTCAGAATAAGACTTTTAGTGTAATCATAATTTAGCGCCTCACAGTTTCGTACGTTATTGGAACATCAATAAAGAAGACAATCAAATAAAAAAGCAGAATATTTAGTCCGGTTTCGAGTTCTGGCAGAATATGAAAATTAATAAATTTTGGTGTAGTGGGTGAAAAAAGACCGATGCCATCAGTTACGCTAACTGTTTTGGCGAGTCTTAGCTATCACGCTGGGTAATACAACTACAAGACAGCCATGGTGATTACCTTAGCCTAAAGTGCCAGACGGCCGCAGGTACACTGTTGGAATATAATTATTGGGAAAGTTGAAATATGCTAGGCGTTTTGATAAAGTAACATTCGCAAGGAAGCGTTTGACAGATTAAACCTAATTTAACTTGTTAAATTATATACATGAACTTGCTTGGGGCAATGTTATATTAGACCCTGATTCCATTGCTGTTTATCAAAGTCGATGTAATCAAACTATCAGTGTTACCTGTATACCGTTACAGAAATCATTCTAAACTATCAAAACAAAACGATATGCGTGTAAAAAAGGGGTAACGAACAACCTTAATTTTTGTGCTAGATAAAGCATAACCGATAACATAAATTAATGACGACTTAGTCACTCTGCCTGAGTGTATAAGACTGTGTTGTCTTTTCGTATATCTCACTTTTGCCGACAACATGGCGGTGGCAGGGAGGGATAAATGCACTTGGAGTTCTCAGTCGCTATTTAAAAATACATAATATACCGCATATATGACTGGCCTGATAATTCTTTCCCATGCGCAAGCGTTAGTTAGGGACCAGAAACAAAAGTAGCTGTATATCATCGTTGATTGGACAAAAATTTAAGTTAAGTCTGATCTCTCGATTCTATAATTTGTTCTATTTATTTTATTTTTATCAATTATTTTATCGTCTATTACTCTATTATGCTGATTATGAAGTTGAAATGAACTTGTACGTATATATACTTGATAGAAGTGTAATGTTTATGGTTGATTTATGAAAAGTTTGGTAAATTTTACACATGGTTCTGAAAACGAAGCTGTCAAAGGTTCCGAAATGAGCGTAATGGATTTATCCAGTGTTTGTTCTTTCCGCATAATCACGAAGATGTTTTATTGTAATTGACCTATGTTTGATCTATTAGTTTAAATAGTCTGCTCAATAATCCAAACACAAATATAGACTTTAATTTAGTAATAAAATTGTGTTTCTTTGTTAATAGTTTATCATAGTGACCTTCATCACTGTAATAAAATCAACGTAACGGCAAGGTTGCAAAGACACTGACTGGAATATATTATTTGTCGTCGGAAAATCTTCAATATGGGAATACAACAAAAAGAATTCAAAGTAAAAACCTTTTTTTATGATAGATAGATTTTATTTTGATCCATCGCCTTTATGTTTAAACTTTCTGCATTTAAAGCCAATGTGCTAGCTGGACACTTGTGCAGTTTATCATGCCGGTTGTAACTTGCTATTTGTTGCGAAAAAGAAGTTTATTCAACCATACGATTGACGAAAATTCTATTATAAAATTGTTGGGCTACTGACGACACCATCTAACCTTTTGCTTTTATATTTAACATAGTATGCTGCCGCGATAAACTATAAAGAGATCAAATGTCATTCTGCTGCTTTTAATTTTTAAATATTGTAAGCTTTTCAACTGAACAAAATTAACATGTTTTTATTTACAGGAATACATTCGTGTAAACGTTGGGGATCCCAGAATTATTGAAAATGCCGATTCGTCGAATAAGCACACAGTTTATGAAGTGGAACTAGACGTAAGAATTATTAACAATATTAAAAATACGTATTAACTTACTGCTAAGCGTTATCGTGGTTGAAAAGATCCGAAGGCAGTTTTATATGTATTAGTAGACACATTTAAAAAATATATATTCTTTTATTTTTAGACTAACAGTCTTTCTTTCACCCATCAACATTCAAGTGTGTGTAGAAGATATTCAGAATTCGTTTGGCTGCGGAACAGATTGCTCAGAATGCCATGCACGTGAGTTTGCAGTTTGTTTCAAAACTGAATTTTCGTCGTGACCATAGCGGATTCAAAATACGAGAAGAAATAGATATGAATTTATTATAACATCGCGTTGCATAATGTGCATGACTTAACTACCATTGGTAGTTTAATAAATGTTTGTCTGAGGAAGTCTGATCATGGTCAGATGAAACATTACTGAAATATATTTGTGTTGGAGTGCAGCAAGACTCTTGAATTACTTAGGATATTTATCTTCACTCTTGGTACAGCTTGCTTGTATTATAAGCTTACGGATCCATCAGCACTAAAGCATAGGAGAATTAGAAAAAGTAGTCCCGTAGAAACTCAATCGATAGCATATTTCTCTTTTTCTTTATTGCAGACCCCGCCCACCACGTCTACCTATGAAATCGTTTCCGTGGAATTTTAACGCGAAGTTTTTGAATAAAAGAAAACTTCAGCTCCAGCAGTTCATTTCAAGGTGAAATTTACAATTCTTTATTCAAATCATATTTTCTGTATAAAATGGAACGTGTTTAAAAAACTTGTTTAGTAGGACAACTCGTACGATTATTAGTTAAAATATTTTTGTTAAAATGTTTATTTTATTTGTTTTCCATTCAGAGTCTTGGAGGAAACTTTGTTTATATCATGCAGCGCATTACACTTGTTCCTTCAAACAAATTTGAAGCCAAAAAAAATGGATTTATGCATTGAAAATGGGAAAATAAATCAAGCGATCATGGCATCGGATTGCGTCACACCTAACAACTTAATCCACAAAATAAATAAAAACTGTGAAAGTCAATACACCTGCACACTGTTTACATCTATTACATGGAAAGTTGATAACAACACCAAAGTGAATGTAAACACTGTAACGACGCCTGTAGTCGAAAAAATTGATAAAGCAACCCAGTGCACGGAAGATACGGGAATATGCACCGAAGATTATGACAATTTGCAAAAAATTATCTGTGTACTGCAAAGAGAATTTTACTCAAAAATGAGTCTTGAATTTTTTTTGAAATATTATGGAAAGTTATAGAAAAAAGAGAAGGCTTTCAACATAAGATGGTTTTTCGATTTTGCACTTCTGTTGCACCGAATTCTTGAACACTTCTAAGATAGAGCAAGAGCCACAGAAGCTTTTTATTGGCCCAACCAGTAGACGGCCTTTTCCTTTCAATATCTAGTCATTGGATGAATTGATTTAAACAATAATTACGTCCCCGAAATATGAATTCATTAATCAGATAAATATTTGTTATATATATATATATTTTATATAATCATAGTAGAATGTTCAGCTTGTGACCTATTTTATTTTGTTTTGTTTTCTTCAGAGGCCTTTGTTGAATTATTTTTTTTATCATATATACAACTGTTTTTTGTTTTTATGAAATGAAATAAACGTATTTTCTTGTATTGAATTTTATGATGCGAAACATTGTTCTTTGAACATATTTTAGATATTTTCTACCTATCGTTTGAAATATATTCAGCTTTTCGTGTAGGAGTCTGATTGAACAAAAACACACAATTCTTGATCCTATTCTCAGCCTCAGCAGGGTATGAGAATTTATACGCTACGAGAACCGTTTTGGACAAGACAGTTATTGGGTAGTCCCGTAGTATGTGTACTAGGTTGGGGTTAGGCCATAATTTCATTCCGATCTTCCCCATTTTAGTTCTATTACGAGTCGGGGACTGTCTATGTTAGCCTAGTAGTGTATATACCCCCTGTTCATAGGTTTCAGTCCCTTTGCACAACTTGATGTAAAGTAGGCGAACAAAATGAGTTACCTCCATGTTGGTAAACATACTTCTGGAGCGCCGTTTTTGCCAATACACGCCCTCAGGCTGAGACAATAGGCAATAGGGTGCTGATAGTGTATCCAAGTACCGGGCAGCATACCCTTTATCAGATCTTGCTGCTAAATTATTCTTAAATCAGTGGTTCTCAACCGGGAGCCGGTGCCCCCTGGGGAGGGGGGGGGCACGAATCACTTCAAGGGGGGCCACGGCACACGGCTAATTGGTCATAAAGCGACTTCGTTTGCATACTCTCCTTTTAAAATAAAATTCCCCGTTAAGGCGTTCACCGCAGTTCCATTATCTGAATAGGTTATTTGCGATCTCAGGGTATAAGCTGTGCGTGAATTGCTTGATCTCAATGAAATATAAAATCTACCAATCAAAATAGTTCTCTGGTAGGCCGTCTAACCTGCAGTCGGGCGGTTTCACTAGACTGCGAGATAAACTTCAGTATCGTATTATACACGCAAAAACACATATGTAAATTCCCAATGTCCAAAATACTAAAATGGGAAGACAGTTAAATCGAGATGAGGAAGAATGTGCGCAATGCCCGAATTGCTCGTATGTAATGAGCAATGAATTATTACGTTCATCTAAACTCCAAAACCACCGCGACAAAAATCATACAGAGGTGAAAGACGTTGACATCGGTTTCTTGGCTGCCAAGCAAGTTAAATTTGACAAGAAAGCAACATTGGCCAAGATCGGTTTTATGTCGGAGGAAACAAAATCTATAAACCGTCTTGATGTTGACAGTACATTTGTCAAGCTATGTGAAAGACGGTGTCTAATAGAAAAAACCTCGTCAGACAGTCCCAAGCGCAAGATTCCCATTGATTGTATATAATACTAAAAAGCTTTGACTTTTTTGTCTGTGGTTTGTTTTTGCATTCCATAAAAGGTCGCAAAACAATCCAAAACGCCAGAAGGGGGCCACGAGCCATAAAAGGTTGGGAGCCACTGTCTTACAGCATCAAGCTTTAACCGCACCACGAGTTACCAGCAATACGTTACGTTCAGATTTAGCAGATGAATTTTATTCAATAACGTCTTATTAAATTAAATTTTGTAATTTGTTGCTTACGACCATATTTGTTCACCAAGAAAATTTTCTGTCGGTATCATTTTAATAATTATGAATGAAATAATGATTATGATGAATATTTGCTTCATTACATTTGTTTTTTCTGTGTATTTTCGATTAAGTTGTATAAGCGTTACGTCTTTTCAGAATTGGGTTCCAATTGATATATATTTCAATTCATGGTTCGTGCAAATGGCTATGTGGCTGAAATTTATAGAACGGGAATGACATTAGGAGTTACATAAAGGGGTACTGCTATGGACTTCTCAACTGAAAGTGACGTCCTGGGAGCTATATATTGCTTGAGATGATAGGAGATATCGGCATGCAACGACAAATTGACATTTTTGTGACATTAGCTAGGTTGTAAATAAATTACACTAAGCGAAAGTTCTTGGAAAAAAACTAGCGTTGTAAACCTTACGTGATTGTAAATTGTATAAGCTTTTAAAAAAAAACAAAAAAATCGTTTTCATAAAAAAATCGAGAGCCATAAAAAGTCCCTGATAGAAGTGCTTCATAAGTAAAGCCTGAAACTACACCAACAGAAGCCTAAAAGATTTGTTTCAGAAGTTTCTTATAGATACAAACATTTTTCATATATCTGTGACCCACTCTCTTCTGTTCCGCGATAAAAATATAATTTTTGACCCATTCATTGAAAAAGGTTCGCCATCCCTGACGTATACATTCAAGTAGGTGGAGTAGATTATGTGACAAAGGATCAGCTATTTAGTATTCGGTTACATATTGGGACACACATTTCCTTTACATCTTTTCATTACACAGATCGCTCGCTAGCCGTAACATTAATTCCTAAGCCGGAGAAAATCCAGGCGACTGCTAACTCGCTCTCAAAATATTAGCGTAATTATTGGAAACAGTTTATCTATCAACCGCGTCAAAACATGTAAACATTTTATTATCAACATCATTGGAAATCTGGCGAGAAATTTTTCTAGGCTATAATATTCTATCGACTTATCTTACGCTTCGGTGTGGCGTGATGCTGAAGAGTGAAGACTACCAAATTTCTTGATCTGTTGCGAAATTGAATAATCTCGTGAAAAAACATTTTTCGCGTCAAGCAATTCAATATTAGAAAATGAATGTATATACTTTATTTTCGGAAAACACTAATTATTTGTGACACAGAATTGAACAAAAGTCTCAAAGTTGTCATACAAAAATAAAAAAAAAACGTCAACAGTAACGTCACAATTGTTGTAGGAGCATGAAAATTCGAAAAATTCACAAATGGGCCAAACAGAAGCAATGCTATTTTATAGCTATAAAGTGAACGTAAACGATTTGGCGATTGTAATGCCACAAAATGAATTTCGCAAAACTTTCCAAATAAAAGATGGTATATATTATGGTATTATAAATTCCTGTAAAATTTTTAAAAAGATTCAACAATCGTTCTCGCGAAAAATTCGTTTTAAAAATTTGCATAATCTTTTGCATATCTGAGCTTTTCAGACATAAGGCCATATGTTCCCTACACTGAGTCGCCTTGTCCAATTTTTTGGTTACAGCTGGAGTGATGTTGCATATATTCCCTCGAGTATTTTCGCCAAAGTAACCGAAGTATAAAATGGGCACCCCGATTGAAATTAAGGAATATTTTCATATATTTTGTTTTCCAATGTGTTCGGTTTGACGCAGCAATTCGACTTTATGATCGTTTGATTTATTTTTCCGTTTTCAGTAGCCTACATAAATCCACCATTTTAGGCTTCAGATTTGTTTGCAGGAACAGGTGCAACGCGCTGCATGATAAGAACAATGTTTCCCTCAAGACACTAAATAGATATATATATATAAATACATGTTAGAACAACAATATTATTCAACAGTACTAGATCTAGTTTTATTATAAAGTTTTGGGTCGATATATTGAAAGTTTTCGTAAATGAGTTTGTGTTATTGAATAATCAAACTTTATTTAAAAAAAAAACTAGTACTGTTAACAAACAAATCAAATTGGAGAATGAAAATTTCACCTTGAAATAAATTTCTGAAGTAGAAGTTTTCTTTTGTTTAGGAACTCCGTGTCAAAATTCAATGGAAACGATTTCATAGGTAGACGTGGCGGGCGGGGCCTTACAAAACATACAATAATTAGGTGATATCTTGTATTTGTATGTTTTGGAACCATAGTTACCAGTTGTGCAGCATACACAATATATTGGTAAATAGTTTAAATAAACTTTTTAGATTAAGATTACGTCTGTTTTGCGAGAGGAACACTCGGGTCAACTTTATTTTAAAACAAGATAAACTCACGTCCATGGCATTCTAAGCAATCTGTTCCGCAGCCAAACGAATTCTGAATATCTTCTACACACACTTGAATGTTGGTGGTTAAAAGACAGACTGTTAGTCTGAAAATGTACAAATATATTATCAAAAAATATATATACTTTTTTAACTACGCTATTACAATTTGAGCTTGGTGTCTCCAACATCAGACGATTAAAGGAGAGTGCAAATATTTTCCCGGGGATCCTCTGCCATCGCGCTCAATAATACTGCCAGTACAACATTGCATTAGATTGAATAATCTATGTTCTATTATTGTAACAAAATTTGAACAAATGATATTGAGCTAGGGAAGTGTCAAATGGGTTTTGTTTCTTCTGAAAGAAAAGCAATTGAGCTGAAATCTGAATTCCAATGCTCACTTAAATTATTTGCATTAGGTGTTAAAAATATTTCAACCCAAGTCACATTTCCAAAATCAAATTTATCTACAAATAGTTTGCTTCAAATTATCTGTTCCTGTATATAAAGTAGCCCACTGTTTCTGCAAATGTGGATTTTCAGGTTTGAAAGAAGTTGAAGTGGTCTATTATTTTATCACAAAAGTTCATTTTAAAACTTACATCTAATTCAACTTCATAAACCGTATGTTTCTTCTACCAGTCAGCCTTGTCAAATTCAACTCAAATTCATTTCCTTATATTCAATCAAGAACGCAGACTTGGGTACTTATACAAACTAATGATTAAATAAATTTACTCGCAAGGGTATGCTTAAATGCCAGGTAAGTTGAAGACGTTTCCGTTAGTCCAGTGTTCAGTAACAGGCGAAAGTAGCAAATTTGGTAAGTTCTTCCTGCTGCTCTGCAAGCTACAAAAAGCTTGGACATGAATGCGCCTAAATAACTGATCTATCGAAACTCTATCTTGTTGTTGTTATGTTTTATGGCGCTTATAACTTCAGTGGTCTTTTGCGCCTTTGATCATTTTGAATTTAAAAATCCTATCCTAACATATAATACAATATATACGAATATATAATTATACAATTGAATCAATTACAATAGGTAATTTTTCTAAATATTTCTGCCCATAGACAAAACAAATTCGATAACAGTTTCAATAATATCCATGTTACTAAACACTTCTTCCAAAGTCATTTCCAGTTTAAGTTTTCTGGCTTTGCTAATGACTGGTCTTCTTTGATGATTATATCGTTGACAATGCAATAAGTAGTGGTCTACGGCAGGCCTGCACAACTCAA